CTGCTTTTCTCTTCCTATTAGATTTGCTATCCATACAAATTATTTATCCTTTCGCTTGAGTAATTGTATTATATTAGTTCTGATTAATTTGGACTGTTTTTTGGCTATGCCACCGCTATATTATCAAGATAAAGACTATGGGCGCTTTGGATCACTCGTAATAGGAGAGAGCTGAGGCTTCGGGAACGGGCCGTCTCGATGTCAGATGAACAAAATAGGAAAAGTCGAAAAGGGCAGAGCAGAGAACGCAAATTCTTGGCGCAAATACCTTGTATAAATGCACAGCAACTCATAGTAAAGGAGTCATAATTAAACCACTTCTTTCTAATCTTCAAATTCGAGGAAGATGGGTATACTTCAACGGAAAACACTCTTATTCACAACAAGAACTTAAAGCGTTACCTGTCAGTAATCTTTTCTTTGGCTTCAGTAAAGATTAAATATAACCATCCGCTACCTTTTCTCCAAACCATCGAGGTTCATTCGTGTAGATTCGTGTTCCTGTTTCCTGTTTTCTGTTTTCTTGCCAAATAATTGCTGCGCATCTTTTAGCAGTACACTAATAAACTCTCTTCTAAGATTGAATAACTTACTGACTTATTACTTAGTGTTTCTAATAATAAAGTTTCATAGCAGTTGTCTTTGTTCTATTCAGAGTCACGCGATTGCGGTGGGTTTTTATGATTCTTATTTACAAAAATAATTACTGATAAATTAGGTAACCAACCTCGAAATGTGATCGTCTTAGCGGAATGTATCATTTGAGTTTACTTTGAAGGGATAAATGCAAAAAATGCTTTCAAAGGTTAGGAAATGTTGCTATTTTGGTGATATTAGAGATGTGATGATAATAAGAGCCTGATAAGAAATATAAAACCAGGCTGTAATATCGAGACAAGCTCAACTGCTCAATGCCGCGGTCCAGTTTCAAAACTACTTTAATGTTTGAAGTGGTTTCAGCAATATTCGAATTTATTTAAACATTCTTGATCTGCTCAAGTTTCTGGATATGCCAGCCATATATTTCTGACAGTGCATATTTATAACACGCATAAAGGCTGAGGCGTTTATGATTCTATGATTGGCTGAAGGTGACTAATCAATCAGTTATATCAGTACTGGTATTGAGGCCAAGTGAACATGGTTTAATTAAAATGCTAATCAATCAAAGCTAAGAATGAGACACAAGCTTGAAGAGTGAAAAAGTGCTTTGTTCAGGATGTAATTTGAATCACTGTTCGAGAGCTGCTGCAAAATTGCAATATGTAAAATAACATTAGCCTCATTATTGTTCATCCAGAACCTGACACCCATCAGTCTAGTTCGATGTTTGAAAAATCTCAACCCGACTATGTTTTTTTCGATTAGGTATAATTTCAGTGCGAAGGGTTAGAGTTGAGTATAAATTTAGAGTTATGGCTAGCGCTTAAGATGATATTTCTTATGTTTTTCATGGTCAAGGGCGGAACCAGGGGAGGGGGGAG